GGAAAACAGCAGGGATGGAGCCCTCCCTCCCCTGCACCCCCTCCAGCTCAGGGGTACTTTCTCCCTGTGCATTGTGGCCAGGCAGAAGGAAGGGGAAGGCAGTTCAAGGAGCCAGCTGTCCATGGCACAGGGGGCTCAGCGCCTGTCCCCGCTCAGCTCTCACTCCATGGCAGGGCTGCAGCTCTGGCACAGCCCAAGCCCATCTAAACACCACCATAGCCCTGTACCCTGCCTGAGGCCGTGCTGGCACACAGGAGCCCTTCATTTAGCCATAGCTTTAGGCCAGCTTAGTAAACTGCAGTGTTCCAGCACAGGAACAAGGGGTGGAACACAGCTCCTGGCAGGAGGCAGGGCAGCTACAGTAGTAAACCAGCAAGCCCAAGGCATGGGGGTGAAGCACTGTACCACAACCTCCCATGGTTAACTGCAGAACTTAACACAACTACTCACTGCTGAGCTCTCTGGCAGTCAGATGGTATTGCTGGCACAGGGCTCTCCTGGATGGGGCTCAGAGCAGCTCACAGCAATACACAGGAGAGAGCTGGTCCCTACAGGCAGGACAGAGGAGGTCTCCCTGTTTAAAGCTTCACCAGGAGGATACAACCTGCGTCACTGTGTGCTCTCCAGGCCAAGGAGCACATCCTGGCCTGTGCCACTGACTGGTCAATGGGACTGTAGCAGCCCTGACTGCTCCAGGCTGCTTTGGAAGCACAGCCTCGTCTGCTTCACTATCAGCATGAGGCTGGGCTTGTGCTGATGCGATCATTGAAACTATTCAGGTTTCAAGTTTTCCTTTTCTAGCACGTTATTTTAACTAAGACCATCCATCACAGATTTTTTAAGCAACAGTATTTTATGCCATGGGTTTCATTTGCTTATTGTACTCTTTGATGGGCTGCATTCTTTAGCATTAACATGAACAAGCTTTTTCTGTTACAGCTGATTTTTTACAGCCTTGTTTCTAGAGAAAATAAGGCTTATACAACAGCACTGTCCACAAGTGTGTGCCAGTCCTCCTCTGGGAAACGGAACCCACTGACCGACAGCAACCAATTCTACAGGAGGGAAATCTCAAACTACCAAGTTCCTCCAAGTTCAAGGGAAATCAGAAGCTCTGTAGGTAGGTCAGACCCTTTTAACACCTCCAACAAGCATCAAAAGGGCCCCAGCCCAGCCCTTCCCCACATCCCCTCTGGCTGCACTTCCTAGCCTAACTCCAAAGGCCAGCTCCCAGCAGAGCCTGGGCAGTGGAGGAACAACCACACACCCACTCCCAGCACAGCCATCAGCCAGCTCCCAGTGCAGGCACTGCAGGAGGGACTCCAGGGGAGGTGGGGGTACCCAAAACACTGCAGCCAGGGTACTGGGCAGAATTACAGGAGAGGAGGGGCTGGAAGGCACAGAGGACTAGAGCCTGTGCAACAGACTGTGCTAACTCTGCTGTTCAAGAAACAATATAAAACCAACTGGAATATTTTAGCTTGTGCCTATTTTATTAACAAGATATTGATGATGCAACGTGACAATAACTCAAAAGCAGAGTTTGCAGAAAAATGCTGAGCACACCATTCATGTAGACAGTTAACATCTTTTGCCCCTGTCCACTACAGGGGTCGAAACTCCCACCCACATTTCAAAACCTGCACATTAAAGTGTGTGTGGGGGGAATCATTCTCATCCTTTCAGTTTCATCTATGTTATAACACAGAAATCAGGTTTCTAAACTCTCTGAACACAGAGGATAAACCAAGTCCATCCTGACTAAACAAGCACCTATCTCAAACCAAGTTAGCCCAGCAGCCAGTGGGCAGACCCCAGTGACGAGTGTCCATCTATCCACACGGAGAAGAGCAGAGCTAAGCTATGAACTCGCGTAGCAGATGAAAAAGCATCTGCTCAGACATCCAGGAAACTGCACAGATTCACAGAGTCTCATTCTATCCTGGGATGGTTGACAGAAGGCTTTTAGCTGTCTTTTACACCCCCTCTTCACACCAGATTTACCTCTTCTTCCATTACTGCCATGTACTTCTCCTTTCACAAGGAGCTTAACACAAACAAAAACTTCAGAAGTGGCAAGGCATCTTCTGCCTTCCCATAAAGCAAAGTGATGTTTGACACAAACCTGCACCAACGCTTCAGTTTGGGTCTAGTGTAGGCTTTTGAAACAATTCTTACCACCCTCTTTTACAGTGCTTGGGTGCCCATAACAAAGCACCTGGAGTGCTCAGAGTGAAACTGAACTGGAACATACACATCAACCACTGAAGCACATAGGACCAGACCACAGTAAAGCCTCCAGAAATGCAAACAATATGGACATGGGGTCCTCGGCACCAACAGGCTCATTCTATGGGCCCATTCCTCCCGCACCACAGTACTTGACAATACAGATGAAGACTGACAACACCCTGAGTAAGCTGATGTAACAGTAGCGGGCTCATCAGTGATTACTTTAGTTTAAAACTAAAACTAACCCAGCAAACAAAAAAAGCCCATCCCTTTCCCCTGTGATGCTGACAACGCATCAGCTACCTGAGGCACAGAGCTTCCAAACGTCCAGCAAACAGCACACGGACAGCTACACGCACGCCTCTAACCCCACAGTACCTGAGCTAAAAGGGAACAGAAAACACACGAAGAGGAGGCAAAGCAAAGGGCAATCTGCTTGAATAAACTTCCTACCATTGCAAGTGTGGACCACTGATGACAAGTGGTTATTTTCTAGTCTTAAGCTGTTTTCTGGTTTGGAACCCTATTATGTTAACTGACTCAGGACCTTTGAGAGTGAACATTATCAAACATTTTCCAGGTATATAATAAACCCAGCTTGTATCAAAAGAGAATCATCTTCAAGTAAGTCCAAGAGGGTAATTAAACACGACACCTCTTCACCTGATCTGTATCTACAGAGCCCATTCTCCAACTGAGCTTTCAAAGGCTTTGCTCTTAAGAGCGCTAGTAAGCTTTCTAGTCCCCAGCAACACAAAACTAAAGAACTCAACATCCAGTAACTACAGCTGCTTAAGTACCACTGCAGCTACACTGGAATCTTCCAAAGCTTCTTCTAAATCTGTATTTTTAAGTATTAAAAGTATCAGATTTCCATTATGCTTCTTGTTTTCTTCTTTAATATTCCTCAGCTCTGTCTTGATAAGGAAAATGCACAAGCTTTCCCAAGTGTATTTAAAGTGATTTAATTACAACTACTTGGTCTTGATGAGAGCTTAAGGTGTCAAATAAATTGAGCTAGGTAATTCAATCAAACATCCTATATTTAAATTTAGCTACACCAAGCCCCTAACTTAAATGTTAAAGTACCTTTCATGTTCTCACAGGTAATTCTGCTACCTGCACCTCCCGCCCCTCACCGAAAACATACCTTAAAACTTCAGTCCATACTAAGCTTTTCTTTTGCAAACACAGAAATACAACTGCTGCCCGTGTAACTACTACTAACTAACTTGCTCTTACACTCCTAATGTATTGCTTAACTAGTAACAGACGCTGCTCTTCATCATTTCTCAGGCACAGACAGACATTCAAGAGAGCAGGCTGAGCCCTCACCTACAGGATTTATCTCCCCCCAGGTGATGGATTTGAGTCAGGTGACCAGGCACTGCACCACAGCCCAAAGGCATTATTTCAGATAAAAGGAAGCCTGCTGCACCTAAATGAGCTCCCCCAGGACAGCAAAGTGAGAGAAGTACCTAGGAAAGGGAGAAAAGAGAAGCACCTCAGGTAGTGTTACCTCTTATGAAAAGAGATATTGGGAAATGAATTGAGGACAAAGGAGACCACGGAACCTTCAGAGCCAGCCCACTCCTTCCTGAAACAGTGAATACTTCAAAAACACCAGCTATAAGATGTAAACTACAGAAGAAAGAGCCTAGAGGAAACTACAGTGGATGAGGATCCCACCACAGGGGTAAGAAATAAGTACACCTGTATTAGACTGTCTGTCCCAGCATCTTCAGCCCCCAGGTACCAAGCAGGAAATACTGAGTGTCTCTGAAGCTCTATCTAAACTGAGGAAATCTACACTGGACTGTGTCTAAACCAAATGCTGCCTGTTAGAAATGTGAAAGGAAGGGGAAATACTGGTTTTCCCTAGTCACCCACAGCTAGGGTTGCAAGCGTCCCAGTTAGTACAAGTGCAACTCGTGCTGCCAAAAGGAACCCCTCTGTGTAGGGGTTTTACCACTAACTAGGCTGGTGTGGCTGTGCCAGGGAAGTCCTTGTGGGATAGTCTAATCCTCAGATTGAATTACCTGCCTTCTGCTAATTAGCACCTTCTAAAATACAGGGTGAATCAAAGCAATCATGTTTAGAATGGCCTCAAGTAAACAGTTATGATTTACACTGAATCAGTGCAGCTGAAGCTTACAACAACTGCTCTGATTTGATGGGAGTTCCTGTTCATTTATTAACTTAAATTAGCTATTCCTAAATGTAGCCTAAACAAGGACAGGTTCCTTTCCTTGCATGCGAGGCTTCAAGGATGCCAATGTGCCCTGCAGTATCACCTTCTGAGCCTCACTCTGCCGATAATGACACTCCTGCTGTGCTGCTGCTGTGTGTGGTTGTGTATATAAAATAAAGTAATTTATTTATAGGTAAATTCTAATCCAAACGTCTTCCACTCAGATTTTTTTCTCCTTCTTACACTTGGTACTCTGGCAATAAATAGCAGGATCCACTTTTTAGCATTGTACTGCTTTAAGCATGCACAGCTTATTTTCCAGAGGCAGTGAACAACTCCTTCTACTTACCCTCGCTTTCATTATAATGTTATACTTGTAGTTTGGAATTCATATTTATTGTAGTGCTGTAATTTCAAGTGGTTTACGCCCTCTAACCAGACCCCTCACCCAACAGAAAGAAGTTCTGACTGCACACAGGAGTTGGGAACCCTTCAATTTCCATCCTCTTACACATGCGCCTCAAGTATCCCCACCCACCCCTCAGCAGGCTGAGCATCCTCATTGCACTGAACTCACCAGCTAGCCAGCTGCCCTTCAGGGTCTTTCTTAGCCAGGTGCATGGTGCTCTGATGGGGCTGAGCTCTCAAACATTTCCCCATGGGGAGGTGGATTTCTTATGTCACAATACACCAGAACCCAATGTGGTGGCTGGATTAAGCCTGTCCTCCAGTGGCTGCCCATCCTCTCCCCTTGTCCCCAGACCACAGCATCACCACAACTGCTGACCCATCATGCAGTGAAACTGAGGCAGTGAGGACCAGTATCTGATCCCACAGCTGGTGGGGCTGGCAGTGGTGACACTCAGCTCATTACTTGCTTGCACCAGATTGTCCTGATAAGTATTTTCCTGGGATCACGAGGTGCAATGAAAGAACTTCTCTGTAGTGAAGAGGACCTTCAGTTACTAATCAAAGTAATTACTGAAACCGATCTGATTGGGAAGTCATTTATTTACACCAAGTTAGGACTGCCAACTGGGAAGCCACTATCCAGCCCCTGAGACTGATTGCTTTAGATGGGGATGATTTCACACTTAATTTTTCAAGTGCTATTGAAAATGTCTTCATCTGTGAATGTAAAATATTTATTTTTCTAGAACACTAAATAATGGCCACGGAGGCAGCTCAGCCTGCAAACAGCACGCTGCATTGGCTGCAGAGTACCTCGCCTATGGGAGCTTCTCCTCTGGGCAACCACAAGAGATGCACCACGCTGCACTCAACTCTGCACTTGAGCAAATTAACCCATGTTCATTTGGGTCTGACACCACCAAACCCTCTCCCTGAGACAGCTCCTCTTTTGAACGAGCCTGGAAAGAGCTTACAGCTCCCTTACAGTAGCAACAATGTGGTTCAATTTAAACAGTCTGGCCCTAAACACTGCAATCTAGGATGAATCTGATGCATCAGCTGGGCACTTCAGGTGGGTATGTGCATTTCCTGAAGACTTAACTGGGATCTATAAACATCAAAGGAACTTTTCATATGCAAGAGATGGAAAACAAGCTCCCATTTAAAATTTACAAGAGATTGGTGCCAGCACTTAGTGGTAATGGAAGCTGCCAGCAAATGAAAGAATTTCATTCAGACTTAGTCCTTTACTTTCTGGGCTAACAGGAGTAAGAGCCATCATATCTGATCTAGTCACAGTAATGAATCAGAAAGGCACTTGACAGAGGAATGCTCCTGAGAAAGTATGGAATAAGGATGCAGTGGCAGGGCAAGTATGTGTGTGTGGGGGGCAGCCTTTGAATCTGGGATGATCTTAATAGTCCTATGGGGACATGATCCAAGCCAAAAACCATCGCACATAGAACCAGCTCCCCTGTGGGGACAAGGCTGAAACCACACGGATGGGGAAGGACTTGCAGGGGTTTGAACAGGGAAAGCTGCAAACCCGTACCGTCGGAGAGGCAGTGTTAGAGTTGTACAGTCCCTCTGGCTCCAGCTGGGATCCTGCAACTATGACAGTGATGTCTTGGAACTTCCAGATATTCCTTCAAAAGGGCAAGAAATCACAAGCTCCTGTCAGAGCACACGTGTGTCTAGAAATGCACATGAATTCTGAACTTCTGGGGAATTCCAGCCCTACTCCACACATCCTGATTTTACGGACTCCTGGAATGGTGGAGGTTGGAAGGGAACTCGGGAGGTCACCTCAACCCCCCCTGCTCGAGCTTTTCTGGTGAGCTCTTGCCAAAGTAATTCTGTTTGACTGTCGGTACCTGTTCTTACAAAACCAGGCAACTATTCCAAGTTATTATTCCACTTATACCTATGGAAAAAGTTTCTTCCACAGGAATGAAATCTTTGCATAGAAAACGTGATTCTCAAAGTCTCCTGCAAGCACTGTTTTTGCTGGTGTCGACCTCAGCAGCAGCACAAGTGATCAGAGAAAAGAGAAGGCAGTACAGTATGGAAAAACTCCGTAAGATGAAGACTACGTTTCCTTTTGAATTCAGCAGGCTCTTTTCTTTTTAACTGCTTAATGCTCCTCAGCAGTGGTCGCATCAGTGTGGAGTTATCAGCACTTGTGGTGGAAGTCTGAAGGTCGAAAACTACTTTTAAATGATGAAAAGCCAAGTCCAGCTCCAGCATTTGTGGGGTGTTTCCATGGGTGGAGAAGTGACCCAACTGTGCCACTAAATCTCTGGGCCACACTGACAAGGGAATTTGTTCGCTAACTACAGAACCTTCTCAAATGAAGCAGGAATGTCAGCTTCAGTGCGTACTCCACCAACTGGAACGGGATCAAGTCTTAACTAAGTTCCACACAATGTTTTCAGGGGAAAAGTGGAGAATGTTTTATGGAATTTAAGTCGGGATTTGGCCTGCGTCCTAGAACATATATCTTGTTATGAAAACTGCTGAAACACTTTCAAGTGGGCAAGCCACAAGTGTCCTTGGAGCTATCCAGTCAAGTGGAAGTCACACAGGCAAACCCTCCTCAAGCAGAAAAGCTTGAAATTGGAAGGGGGGGGAGTGAGGGAGGGGCAAATAATCTTGGAAACTTATCTGTTATACAGAATGGTTCGCTTGTGCCTACAGCATGAAGTAGTTACAACTTGTTTTCTGCTATTGTCACAGATCCAATATGTTACTCCAGCTAAATCATAATCTCTTCCTGCCTCGGTTCATCCATGTGTAAACCTGGTTCACTAACTCTTACCTTAATGTGTCATGGGGCTTAATTAATAACACTCAGGTCTTTTAAGCCCTCTACAAACATTAACTACTTCTTGTAACAACTCTCTGAGGTATTATTATCCACATTTTACTGATGGAGAAAGGCAAAAGAGGCTGCAAGTCGTCGAAGGTAACAGAGGAACAGTTACACTTAGAGATCCGCTTCACAGACTAACGTATTGTTAACAGTGGAAACTTATCAAGAAAGGCAAAGGCGATAACTACAATCTCAAAATTACTTTGTGAAGTGCATCACAAGCAACTGAAGACTGTGAAAAACCCCACCAGACACAATAGGCTTGGGATCAGCACAAGTGCTACAACCATCATCACAGAGGAAGAAACAGCCGAGGCTGAAGCTCACCAGAACAGCCACAAAGAAACGCTAAGACCTGTCCTCTCACGCGCTCCCAAGTACCATCAATTCGAGCAACAGGCTGCGCAGTCCTCCTTAGTAAGCGAGCAGACAATCAATGCGGCATGCAACATGCTAATACCTTCCGCCGCGTTCCCGGTATTGACAGGGATGCCAATACCGGGCTGAGATGGCGGTGGTCCCGCGCGTTACCGGCACAGCGCGGCCGCCGGCCCCACCTCACGAGTGACAGCACACAAAGTTGGTGTCCGCCGCCCGGGATCTCTGCCCGGGCAGCCCGCGGCGTCGCGCCGGGGCCCGGCATCCGCCCGGGAGGCAGCGGGGCGGCAGCCGCCCCCCCCGGAGCCGCTGACAGGCGCGTCCAGCGCTGCCGCCAGCAACAGGCGCGTTCTGCGCGCTCGCCCCGCGGAGCCGGGCTCGGCCCGCCCGTGCGCGGCAGGGGCCGGGATGGAGCCCGCGGAGCTACGCCCCCTGAGCCAGCCCAGCCCGGCCCGGCCGGGACGCGCCCCTGCCGCCCCCCGGGGCGCACAACGCAGCCCCCGCGGCGCGGAATGGGACGGGGCGGTGGAACGGGACGGGACGGGGGGCGGCCGGGAGGCGGAGGCGCTCCGCAGGCCTCGGCCTAGAGGGGGAGGCGGGGGGTGTCGGCGCGGGGGTGACAGCCGCGCCGCCCGCTCCTCCGGCGGCAGGGGGTTGGCCCGGGCGGGCTGCGCCGCCGCTCCGGCGCGGCCGGGGCTGTCCGGCCTCTGCGGCCGGCGAGGGGAGGCTGAGCGGGGAGGGACGGGGTGTCTCCGCAGGCAGCAGAGCGCGGCGGGAGGACGGCCGGGGCCGCGGGGCGCAGGGGCTCGCCGCGGGGCAGGCCCTGAGGGGAGGCTCCCGCCGGTCACTCCGTAGCGGCCACCCTTCGCCCTCCCACCTGATCCCGGGCTGGGACCCCGCGCTGCCCGAGCCGCCGCGTCGGTTACCTGCGGGTGCGGGGTGCCGGGGAGCAGGGCCCCGGTGTCCGGGCTCCCGGCGGCAGGGCCGGGCCGGGCCGCGCGGGCCGGGCGGGCTCCGCTGTGTTTACACCGCCGCCGGGGCTCCGCGCTCCGCAGCCGCTCAGCAGCCAGTCGCCATTTCCCGCCTACCGACCTGCTACACCGCACGGAGGGACCCGGATGGGGAGAGGGGCCGCCGCGCAGGCGCAGCCCGGCCGGGGGAGGGGGGCCCGGGGACGGAGGCGCCGGGGCAGGCCGGGAAGGAGGGAAGCCGGGGCCTGGCGCGGGGAGCGGCGCCCGGAGGCGGCGGGGACGGCGGGCGGGCCGAGCGCGGCGGGGCTGCGGGAGAGGGCCCGGCCGCCTGTTCCCCGGGCCGGGAGCCGCCGCCGAGGGCGGGAGGCTGCGCTTCGGGCGCCGGGACCGAGGGTACCTCACACGGCGGAGGCAGCGGCCGCCTCGTTCTGTTGGCGCCGGGCCGAGCCGGCCGCCCGCGGCCCCTGAGGTGAGGCGAGGGGCGAGCGCTGCGGGGCCCCGCGGAGCACAGGGAGGGGGGACGCGGGCGGGCACGCAGTGAGGTGCGGGGGCGGCCGCGCTCCCGCTGAGGCGCCCCAGGCGAGGGGAGGCCGCCGCTGGCGGCCCCCGGGAGGGAGCGTTCCCCGGAGGGGCGGCGCGGCTGCGGCCGGGAGGAGCTTCCCTGCGCTCCCCGGGGAGGAAGCGGCGCGGCGGGAAGCGCCGGGGAGGGTTGGTCGCGGCCGGAGTGCGGCCGCTGCAGCCGGAGGGGCGGGCGGCCCCGGGGGAGGCAGCCCCCGGTCAGCGGCCGCTTCCCTCCCTTCCCCGGCTGCCGCTCGCGTTCCGGGCTCGTGAGGCTTCATCTCTTCCGAGCACAGGCAGCGCTGGTTCTGCGGTTTGAGCGGCTGCTGCAAGCCCCAGCGGGGCGCAGTGTGAAGTTGTAGTTGCACTTTCTCTTTGTTCTGTTTTGTTGTTTAGGCAGCCTTTTCCGTGTGAAGTGTTGAGGATGCTGCGGGCTGTAGCGGGTGAATGACTTAACGAAATAGCTTGACAGTCTCATTCAGCAAAGTTTTAAGAGGGTGTAGTGAGGTTTAGGTGTATAATGGGAATCCTGCTGAACCTCTAGATTTGATTTTTCTTTCTGTTGGGGATCGGTTTTATTCATGAACCTTTTCAAACAGGAATCTTCAGCTCTTAGGTTAAAGCATGTTACATTAGGATAACTCCTCAAGGTATTGCTCAAAATGGCATGTTTTTACAGAAGTAGCTTGTGTCCTCATTCCCTAACTTAGCTGTATGCAGAACCCCACACAGGTGCTGTTTCCTGTTCCTAGTACCCGTTCACTGTCTTAGCTTTTAAACCTGGGTCATATTATGGCAGTCCCAGCTCTGTAATCACTTCAGACATTTATTGGCTTGTTAAACTGAGCCACATCTGCGGCTGCAAAGCCAAGATTTGGTTTAAAATTCTAACACGGGACGCTATATTCTTTAGCAGAAGACATAAAGCTAATTTTACCCTAGCTTCCTAAGGAAAGAGGGAATAAGGAGGCAGTGGAACGGTGCTGTCCTCATTCGGAACAGGCAGCCTTGTTCCTTTACAGCACTGAAGGATTTCTAGGCACACTCATTACCCACAGCATCTGAGTGCTTTTTCTGCGATCAGCTGTGAAGGAGGTGAGTGTGGACATGTTAGACCTGCCCAAAGGGTGTCAGTCCTTTCAGAGGAACGAGTACGGCGGGATAACTGTGTGATGGCTCACAGCGTAAGCCTAAAAGGACATTCACTGGTGCTTAGGAAGTAGGAGTTCTGCAAACTGGTAGGTGGAAATGCTTCCTCAAAGTGTGTAATTAGAAGGAAAGTGGCTGCCAGGGGAAATCCTTCAGCAGGATCTGAAGTAAGCAGAGCTGCGTGTGAACAACAAACCAGCCACATGCATTTATAATGAGAGCCAAAAACCCTTCAGAGGAGAGATTAAAGCCTATGACTGAGGGTTCAAACTCATCTCTACGGGTACGAGTTGTACTTCTCTGAGATATGGAATATTAAAGCCTGCCTCCTGCAGAGGTGGTGTGCTCTCATTGTGTTACCTGGTGCTGAGCCGTGTCAGGAAGGGGGCTGGGAGCTTTGCCACATGCCAGGTGGGGATGTGTGAAATCCTACTGCTGATGGGCAGTGCTGTGAAGGCAAGAGTTCAGAGGTCTGCCTGCTGTAACCTGCTCCCCACACTGGAGCATGTACCGGGGGAAGAGCATCAGCTCTTCAGTGTGTGAAACGGCAAGAGGCTGCATAACACCGTGTCTGCCTGCGGACACGGGAAGCGTTAGAGGCTTGGACCATGCAGTTGGTTCAGCAGCAGTGGGTTTTCCCCTGGCAGCGGGTTTCAGGCTCTCTGTCTGAGGTGTTCTAGGTGTGTATCTTCTTCACTTTACAGGGAAATGAAGGGAAGGATGTGTAGCTGCCAGGACGTTGGGCACTCCTGAGATGGTGTACCCCGAATGTGCACTGGAAGGGCCGCTCATCAAGGTTTTATAATTTCCTCTCACCTTTTTTCCCCCCAAGTCTTGTTGATCCATTGGCTTTGTGTTCATATGCTCATGTAAAATGACGTGCTTTAGAGCAGTGTCCCTGTCTGTTGTTGAGATCGAGCTCTGGTGAGTTCACCAGTTTCTCTGGTACTTCAGATACCTGCAGTTAGAGGATGTATTTCATTTCAGGTTCCAGTTTGCCATGCAGCGCTTCACAGCAAGATTCACGCACTGCTGGAGTCCTCTGTGTGTCAGGACCCGTGTGCAGGGATCGCATTGTCCCTCCGAGTTCTGTCCCATAAGCTAAAACCCTAAACCTTGCCTTACCTTTTCTTTTTCAGGTGAAAAAGGTTTGATTCCCTGAGTAATCTGGGGGTTAAGACTCCTCATTTAAGTTCTCTCTGGTATCTCCCCATCCTTGTTGCAGAGATGCTTTGTGCTTTGAGTACAGTGGTTCAATGCAGTTTATTTGGCTAAACTGCAAGCAGCTGTGACAGACTGAGAGCTGTTGTGTAAACAAACCAGTTCTTGTCTGGGTTTATATTCCTTAAATTACCTATTCCCAGTATTTGTTGTTTCTTTGCTTATCTGAGGGGAATAAATGTTGTTCACCAGGTAAACAGAGCCCGGAGCCTCCCTGAACTGAGAAGCAGCTCCCAGGCTGTGATGGCTGGGATCCAGTCTGTCCAGCCAGAGACTCCCCGTTCACACTGCTGACAATCCTGCTGATGGGAGTCAGGGTTCAGATGGCACCGTATCCCCCGACAGGAACCAAGGCAAGCACAGCTTTAAGTGAACCTTTATGTGTGTTTGATCTAGCACATGTTTGATCATGAAACAATCCTGTAGGAATAGAAATGAACACCCACAAGTGGGCAGCTCCAGCTTTAGGAGGTTAAACTGAGGGGTATCCACACTGGGAACCCTGGTGTGGCTGGGGTTTAATAGAGGCTGAGGCATTAGAATGTTATGGGGTTTGCATTGGCATGAAGTTCTTGCATAAATACCATCACTCTGTTTCTGGCTGGCCTGAAAATTCCACTGCATTCTAGTCAATAGACAGAGGCCCCCAGGTGGGTGGGTGGGTTTGGGGGTTTTGTTGCTTTGCTTTGGGATTTTTTTCCTTTCTATTTTATTTGGTCCAGTGCTATACTAGAGAAATACTTGGTCTCCCGAGTCCTGGAGGGAGCTGGGAAGCTCTAGCTAGTG